AGGTTTTCACTGATAAATATTAATTAATCTTTTGTCTTAAAATGCCACTGGCGATTTCTGAAACGCATGTTGGGTATGGGTTATAATTATAATACATGCATGTAGTTATAAGACTGTATTGCGTAACATTAACCATTTGTACGCTGTTGATACAGACTTCACGACATACACAATTTATGTTTGTAAGGTGGCAAAACAATCATTATAAATAGTCTTGGTAGTTGCATCCGATGTAATTTGTTTGATATTCTAGGATATTCCGACACGGCCACTTAGGAGAAATAAAGATGTAGCCTACATGTTTCTCGGGTGATCTCCCTTTGATTACATAGTGACCATGGTGACGAGGAGCCGGGAGTTGGAAAACAAATTCAAAGCATAAATAAATAGGTTGTCAGAGGAAAAGAGAACACATTATTTTTTTAAGCATTTCAAAATAATGATTAGTTAAATATAGATCAGCTACTTGAAGGAAAAGTCTTGGGTCAGGACTGAGGCACGTGTATACACAAAATGTCGACATTATTGCATCTAGGCCTATATGCAGTCATGCTTAGCGAGAGTTTTTCGTACTTTTTTGCACCACAACACAAAATAACTTATAATAGATATAACATTCGCATTTCGAAACTTTTTAATATTTACAAAAACAATATAGAATCTTTTTCTTTTCTATTAATGTAGGGTAATCCCCGCTATTTTCACTTTGTGAGTCGGTGCTAAGATATTTGAATCGAACGAAAAGTATTAATTTCGATGTGGCCACACCCCTCGAACAAAATAAAAATATACTTTATTTATTCGTATTTTAATCCTCTTTTCAATGGTATACATTTTATTTTGTTCGAAGGGTGTGGCCAACACAAAAATTTGAATCAAAGACGAAAAAATGCTTTATTTTGATAAAAACTAACAAAGTGCACGTGTTTAGACGTTTTCCGTACAAATATGACGTCATCAAATAAAAAAAAATGGCATAAACTATTTAAGTTTGATACCCAAGGATAATATTTCTATTGTTAATTTTCTTCTTCCCATCAGTTTAATCTTCCTGAAAAAGTAGGCCGATTTAGCCCCTTCAATGATTTAGCTCTTTCTACCCATAATGCTATGACAGAGCCTTGAAGAAAAAACAAAACGAAACAGGCTTGCAGGTTTTAACATAAAAATTTAAAGAAATGGAATTTCGAGTTTATTCAGTATCTTATGAATATTATTGAGAAATAAATCAAGCAGAAACAATCTCATGAATAAATTGCACATTATTTCTCCATATGATATATGGAAGGAAACAAAAAAGAAAGAACAAAGAATTGTATAAAAAAATGTTATGTACACTATATAAATACAAATGAATATGCAGTTTTTGCTACTTTCATGATTTTCTCTTGTACGCAGTACAGTTAAGGTGCACAATGGAAATATCCGCGATTTTTTATGATACAAAATAAATGCTTTTTCGGGATGGCGATTCTTTTTAGTACTCTACTAATATTGGACGAATATAATTATGGTTATTAACCACATATTGAGGACGATTAAATTTTCTCTTTAGACCTGTCACGTGATTTTTGCACATATACTTGCAGTATTGAGGTCACCTATAAATTTCGATAGTACAAGGGCAAAACCAAGTTAAAATTTGAAGTTTAATTTTTAAATAGTTTCAACACCCATTGTGGTTTGTGAAAAGTGCTGCAATCCTATATAAATTCTACAATTTCATTGTTTAAAGGCAAACAAAATTTTTGCTGGTCAGCTTCATTAAAAATAGAAATAATTAATTCAGTTTCAAGATTTCAAGAGGATCGCAGCACTATTCAAATAGCTTATTACTTCTAAAGTTTATGATTAAAAACTTGTCATGATCTATTGAGGGTATGCCTTTGCATTATATCGATTTATTTAGACCCTTAGATTATCCTCCAATGTACCTGCATACAAATGTACGGCAGTACCCGTTAAATAGAAAATGTACGGAACATATATGAACAAAATCATAAAAAGGACATTGTATCTAAATTAATGGCCTCTTAAAAATCTGCAAGTAATATTCTATCTAATTGTAAAATTCACTTCTTCGTTGTGAAAATATTACTTGTTCCGCATCTCACTGCATACAAACTGCGTCAAGTTTTACAGAATAACGTCATATCGACAAATGCAGTGCGATCAGTGACTTGTTTAAACCTTGCTAAGTGGAATATAACCTACGACAAAAAGGCATGTTATAGTAAGTTTTGATGTAGTTTAATTGTCTCCTACAAATTAAAATCGCAACTCACATCATTTTTTGGCATTTTTAAGGATTGTTAGTTTCGTGTAAAGTCATATAGTTAATATTTCCCCTAAAAATTAGGATCCGGCTCCTTTTTGTAGCCTTAACTGTGCTGCGTATTTCGAAGCAAAATCAATCTCTGAAGACTCTTCAAACACTAATTATTCAAATACATAACAGTGAACACAAGTCTGATTATAATAACTAAAAGCTTCGGAAAGGCATTACCTATGATTGTAGGTAATGATATAATTATAGGAAATCTTAATAAATGGTTGTCTACTGTCTAGTCATGCAGAAAAAACATATTGCCAAAGCGTAAAACACTTTATATTCTATTGCCAAAACGTAAAACGCTTAATCTTCTATTGCCAAAACGTAAAACGCTTTATCTTGTAGCCAGTTGGATCTTTTTATATAATTTTCAGCATGAGACACGTCTACCAAGAAGTGTCCAACTCATGACCATTGCGAATTGTAGTTGTCTGCAAAACAAAAATAACTACAAAAAGAATAAATATAATACAATTTCTCAAATACCAAATTTATAAATTACTTGTAACGTAATTAAAATATAGAATTTGTATTTTTCTTATTATACTACAACTATGATTTTTGTTAAAAAAATATTGCTAACAGTAACAGAAAAGGATGATTGCAATTAGATATACATGTAACGACTAATTTTCGCTTCTAAAGATTTTATATTGAAGCCTAATTTCAATTTTGTATATTAATTAGGGATATCAACTAGTGCCTGGTTAACCGAGTACTCGATTGAACGTCCGAATCTCGAATACTAAAATGGTACTCGGTTACTTCGATGTAAATTTTTTCTTATTTCAAAGTACATATTCTTATCAAATATTTATCAAAAATAACTTTAAAAATATGCATACGGTAATTAGTGTGTTGTCATCTTCACCTGTAAAACACCTGTTATCGCCTGTGGCTGTGTATATACAGCAATAAGTGACCAACCATCTTAAAATTATTTCGTTAATATACGACGGCGAAATCGGACATGAATAGAAATGCCACTACCCACTTAAAAAAAAAAATTGAAAGTCAGTTTGCTTAGTATAAGTTTAGTGTACACGGGTGAAACACCAACATATGAAATAATAATAGACTAGCGATCCCAAAAACAACCATTCCTTCTCGTTCAGGATCACTAGTTTAATCATCAAACCTGCTAGGACTTTTATACTTCACATCTGTATTCCTTGTGATAAGTCTCCTCCTTGAGTATAAATATCTTTGACCTTGACCTTGGAGTTTGACCGACTTTTAAACAACTTTAGATAATAACTTTTGAATTGCTAGCACAAGGGCTTTTATATTTCATAGGTGTATTTCTTGTGACAAGGTCTGTCATTTTATACCAGCAAATTAGCCAGATTGTCCTCTTTTTGTATTGATCAAATAGATCCTAATCAAGAACTGTAAACAATTTGTAATTTTTTGGTGTATTAATTGTGTCTTTTGTGTTCACTTGATGCATAAATTTAGTACCAAAATCATTTCCGTTAGACTCGATGTTTGTATACATTAATAAACGCGATAAAAACAGTTTTGGGCTTTATCTGAGCTTAATAGGGCTCGGCTCATGAACACACTTGTATTTTCATTCTGACCGGGTACCCGGATACTCGATCGGATAAAATGACCGAGTAACCGATTATCAAATATTGACCGATTTGACATCCATTATATTAATTAAAGAATCTTGTAAATTTGAAATCAAATTTAAATGTTACAAATGAGTTCAGACTGTGATAAATTGATTCTATGTTTTTCGTTCTTTCTGCTTTTCAAATTTAGAAACTTTACACCTACCTGCCCTTGATGAAACAGAAGGTAAAATAAAATATGCATGAAGGTTGTTATTAAGGTAGGTCCCTAGTACTGGACCTACTTGTGTTTTTTCAAAAAATTGTGCCAAAATATTAAGATTGTTCATGCTAGGGTATGATGAATAAGAAGAATAAAGGGGTTGTCAATACTATTACAGAGGGAGAGTTTCTCAAAAACAGGTACACCCATTAGTCAATTGGCAATATCAGATTCCAATAAAGGTTTCACATAATAAGTCCATAAAATAGCTTTTTTTGATTATAATGATTTTTTTTTCAATTAAAATCAAATAAATACATCTAATTAAACAAATTAAAGTGCAATTTTATTGTAATTTCATTTCCCTTGATTTTTTTTTTTTTTTTTTTTTTTTTTTTTTTTGACAAAATTGAACAAAATGCCACCTTCGGACAGTCAAAAACCTGGAAATACAACAGCATTAAAATTATTGTAAAAAAAATTTGACTTGTGAATTTTCAGTCAAATTTTCAAATTATGTTCATCTATGACTACTTGTTAAAATTACATTTAAAAAACAGCACATTCCCAGCATAATTTTTTTTTCTCAGCACCACTATTTATTTGACCATTTTGTTGTCCAAATTTAGATTTTGATAAGGAATTTCAGATGAGGAAAGATAAAAAATACAGAACTACTGATGACTTTTATTTCATTTTATAGATGCATTACTGCAACAGAAAAACAACATTCTTTGAAATAACATATAATTTTAAAACCTATAATACTTTCTGTGTACCATAAATTACATATATTTTACATGTATCTGTTCTTTGAGTGGATGAAATGGAAATCCATTATACTGAGTCAAAATACATCAAAGTATATGTTCAATAGTATTTTAACACATTGTATTGTCTAAAGTAAAATACATACAATCAGTAATCATTAACAGTTATTCAAATATTCAACCAATTTATTGATTACATTAGATGACTTGGATATTCTAGGCTGCTTTGAACCAGATAATGGTTCACTAAAAACATTTCGTAACCCATTATGTGGATCCCTCTTGTGGATTAGCACCAACTTAGACAAACTAAGAGAATTTACAATCAACTTCTTTGAAATCATGGAAGATAAAACCTTTGCCTTAACAAGGGGCTCTAAAGACTTCTTAATGGCATAATAATTTAATGTGAACATATCTTTAGCTGTACATAGAGCCAACAACTTCATTTCAAAAAGTTCCTTCAATGCCTTCACATCAGCAATAGCATTATGTGCTTCATAATCTTTTCCAATAAAAGTGTTCACAAGAGTAACTTGTTTATAGTTTTTAACATCATCTTTGCTGAAAGATCTCCTAGACACCTGTAAGGTATCTATAAAACCAATGACAGTGCTTGCAAAACTGTCAAATAATTTAAATTTGACTAGCTGATTCATCAACACTGGTAAATCAAAATTTTGTATATTGTGCCCAACCAAAATAGGTTTACAATCAACAGCCTTCAAAAATTCAACAAACTGCTGAAGTCCTTCAAAGGCCTCTTTATGTTCAACCATCCTGCCATTATGCTTCAGCACACCACCAACAAAAGTAAGTCCAGTTGCTGCAGATGCATCAAGGCTAATTGGGGACTGCGGTGTCAAGCACATGTTGAACTCCCTCTCTCCAGATACAGCTGCAATCTGAACAATATCAGATGTTCTGGCTGAAATATATTAAAATAATATTGAAACTCCCATAGTGTTTACTTCTAAGTCAAGTGCAACACAATTCTCTTGATCTTAAACAAATACAACTACTTTCAAGTATTCCTTAGATATTTCTACCAAGATAAATTAGTTCACAAACCTAACCCAGTAGTCTCTAGGTCAAATACCACATAAGATTTGTTGGTACTTGGTAGTTGATCTAGTTTATTCAAAGAAATGTCTTCCAAATCAACTTCATCATCCAAACCAATTTTGCTGCTATACATATCAGTGTAATATAAATGTTCGGAAAAAATTATTAGCTACAAACAAACATCAAACATAAAAATTTAGTTCCAGATTAGTTGTATTTATCTGACTTACCTTCAAGAACAATTTGTGATGCATCTTTTGCAAACCGTTCTGACTTGGGCTCTAAACGCCTCCGTTTTGTGCTCCGCTTTGCTTGTTGTAATCGCTTCCGCTTCAGTCTACTTTGCAGGATTCTGGAATGCTTGAGGGTGTATCTTCCAGGAGACATTGTCAATCTTTTATTCACCTGGGGGAAAATAACAAATATGAATTTGAAAAAAAAAATCAACAAATTCTTTTCAATATGAAAACACGTAATAAATGTTTTTCAAGTAAAGTGATTACATATGTCATGGAATAAGAAATCAATTGTGTTTGCATTTGAATGTATTATTAACAATGATATCAAACATCTTATAGATATAATTCTCTAAAAACCTGCATATACATTAAATAAAACATCAATTGAAAATGAAACTGTGTGAAGTAAATCTAAAAAATGTAGAAAAGATAAGAACAAAAACTAATACATGCACAGTCAAACATGTTCAAATACTCTATCAGTCTATGACATTCTGATGTTAAAATTAAACTAGTTGCAGAAACATTGAATTCAAAATTAATGTTGTTTCTGCATCAACATTAACAACATCTATAAATTCTATTCATGCCATGTGTGAACATCAAAAGAACACTTTTTTCATTCTATACCTCTGTTATATAATTATACCCCTCATTTTTCTGACAGACAGTTGCAGATACTCTCCTATGCAGACTGTCTGAACCTCCATAGAACCTATCAATAGTTTAGGTGACATATTCCAATTAACAAAAGTTACATACATTTATTTGTGTGCATTTTTTCTCGGTTCATAAATTTGAAAATAAAAAAAAATCTTACAATCTTTTAGGTGCTTTGCTTGAAACCATGTGGTTAAAATTTTCTTTCACTTGAGTGGATCCCATCGACACAATCTCATTTGCCCTGTCTGCATACTTCTCAAACAGTTTTTCTAGAGCTGATCTCAGAGGCTCACTTGTTAAAGGTTTTCCATATGGCAGGTTCTTTGGTTTATATCCAGTATTTTCACTTCTGCACCATGTGCCACACATGGAATGATCCCCTGTAAAGATTAAATATACTTGTACAAATACATCATTTGTACCTTATCATGAACTCACTCATTTCTAAAAATAATTAGAAAATAATATAATTTTTCTTGCCAGTCTCTTACACACAAATACATGAACATTCTTTTCGCAAGTAGTATTCTTACCATATAAATGAGGAACAATTTTCCCCATATCATTGGCCAACTTTTCTGGGTCTTCAGATGCCTGACGAACACAATACATGAAGCATCTCTCAATTTGTGTTCTAACTTTAACATTTTTCAATACTTTATGGGTATTGCTGACTACCACAAGACTTCCAGTAAACCCTTTTTTCATGTGATTGCTGTCCGCCTTTTTCATTATATCTGGATCAACAGTTGCCCTCAATCTGGCTATAGTTGTAGAATCATTGTCCATATATAACTAACGTGGTGACCTAATAACATTTTATAATAAGCAAATTAACATAATAAAGCATTAGCACTTTCATTTAAAATCTTCAGACACATTTATATTCAGTAAAGCATTTTATATATATATATATATATATATATATATATATATATATATATATATATATAATACAGAACATGTCTATATAATTCACACCTTTTCACCTTGATCTTTTATGCTTTGAACCATCTCGCATGACATTGCAGGTTCCATAGATTTTGCAGACCCTGACCAGTTCCGACAGGAACATCCTTCTGTTTCGCCAAGTCACATATTCTGCATTTTTTTGATTTTACAGCATAACCAACACATTTCTTGGTTTTTTCCCCAATCAAACTTGCATGTCCTCCAAACATGAAAGAGAATTTTCCAATAGCAGTGAATACTTTGTATGATTATATTTTAGTAATTTAGTGAAAAGTTAAACTACCCAAATCAAATACTAATTAGGAAAAAATACCTGTAAGGCTATTATAGGCATGCCCAGTTCCCCTTTTCTGCCAGGCACCATCGAAGCTGACTGTAAGATTACCATCACTCCTGAAGAAAGATCCAATAATTATCATGCATGAAATTTCTACTTTTTTTCAATGATTCAAATTATTTTGACAAATACCAATAAATTTACTTTTCAACTTCCTCTAATAGACTGGTTCGACAACTTTCTTCTGCCATTTTACTCAGTGTACTGCCAACTTCCCTCTCCCTTTCCTTTAGACCTCCCTTCGAAATTCCTGGAATGTTTAGTGCTGCTAAGAAGGCGTTTAAATGCGACTCTCCGAAGCCACCATTGATCATTCCTAAAATAATAATCATTGACCAAAGATCAATCCACAGTATACTGAAATGCAGATGTTATAACTAGCATATTTATAAATACCAATGTACGCAAGTGTATCATGTTTATATAGACACTATATTATATTTCACTTACCTACTGCTACCTTCGTATTAATATCCCATGCCTTTCCACCCTTTTCTGTTAGATGTTTTTTGCCTGTTGGGACATCATTAAGCAGCCTACACTCCTTGTATCTACACTGCACTTGGAGAATTTGAGCGAGTCCGAATCTCGTCTCTCCAACACAATCGGACAAATGCAAAGGCTGTCCACATCTCTTGCACTCATTTAAATTAGTTGCAAGGGTACCAAGTTCGATGATTCGTCTACCTTCTCTCCAATCATTTTTACCTGTAGGCCCAGCAATTTCCTCTTTAGCAACATCAATATCGCGAGCAAGGGGGTCAACACAGTGATACACATGGTCTTCGCTGGCAATTGGAGTGATTACAGGTGTTTCAATATCTCCTTTGGAAGTATCATCATCACTACGGTTCCAATATTTTATGCACTCTCGCCTCAGGACTTCATTTTGTTTTACACGAGAGGATTTAACGAATTTTCCCTTCTTATTTCGCACCGCCATTATTGCGGGATGTTACTGATAAATAATAGTGTTAAAAACCTATACCGGAGTCCGATCCGGATATGACGTCACACGACTAGACCCTTACTTTAACATTAAAAGATAAGTTTAAAACAAGAATGGCACAGATAACAATGGCGTGTAATAAGATACGTAACCGCTCTTTTCCTACCTTCCTCACTATTGACAAAGGTTTCACAACGATGTTAACAATATGTCCATGAAATTACTGAAGATTTATACCATGGGCGCATGTTTATCCTATTGATATTTTTGACATTACAATGTAAATATATAACATAGGCAAACATGCCCCGACTATGTATTTAGTATTATGAATGTAAGTTACATATGTAAGGCTAGATATAGGCGTTTCTATGCAAATGAGCTGATGAAAACCATGAGATATCTTTATAAAACACAAAAAGTTTGAATCAAATTTCTAAAAAATATATTTAGTACCTACGGCATATTAAAGCCAGGACACGTCATATTATGACGTAATTTTTATCTATAGCTCAAGGTAATAAAGCACACCAAAGAACACTTCAGGCTCAAGGACATATCCTTTTTAACTTAAAATAAATAAAATATATAATGCTCAGAAGACATTTCTAAAGAGTTATAAAATTGCTGCACATATCATATGCACTTTCGAATTTGATCAGATTTTGAAAAAAGGAAAACTTACATCGGACTGTACATTTAACCCCTTTTTAACTCAAAACTTTAATAATAGTTGCTATACTATTGAACTGACGACATTTGTGCAGCAGAAACACAAAATCCTTGGATTATTGTGCTTCTTATTATAGAGTCTACCTTGTTTCTGTAAAATTATATAGGTGTGCCCTTAGGCCAAAGCTGTTTTGTTGATATATTTAAAACATGTAAAGACAAATGACGTCATAATGAGTGCTGATAACAATATGCCGTGGGTACTAAAGGTGTAAAAGAAAGTGCATGTAAACTGTAACATTCTCTAGGCATAGCCCTCATCTGTTCATCAATTAGTTCAACTGTATAGTAAGGCATGCTCATTTAACTCATTTGCGAATGTAGGTAAAGAAGCGTGTGTCTTTCTTTTCATATGTAGATCCAATACATGTAACTCGTGAGGACCTTATCCATGAAAAGAGCGTAAATGCATACTTTTTTTTTTTTGCAATTACCTTATGTTGCAGATTTGATGTTGACCATTCCTGCAATTTAAAAAAAATGTTCATTATGAAAGTCTACTTTGTTGCGAATTTAGAATGTCCTTAGTTGCTTTGCTTTAATACCATACAAAGGATGATGTTCCAAACTTACTTTCTGCAGCCCCTTTTTCTACGACGAATTATATTTCATCTACAACGATTTTGATAGTTTTCAAACAGTGTGAATAAATACGACGCTTTTTAAATAGTTTCAATAGTTCCGACACATTATTATTATGAGGAGATTTGTGACAATACGTCCTATTATGATAAGAACGTTGGCGGGTGTTAGTACAATAGAGGGATATGCATGTCCGAGGAATTTACCTTACATGGCTATATATATATATATATATATATATATATATATATATATATATATATATATATATATATATATATATATATATATATATATATATATATATATATATATATATATATATATTGTTCGCACATAATCGATTACCAAGAATAATTGTCCAATTCAATGACTGAACGACAAAACATGCTGGTTAACTACATGATTACATTTTATCAGAGGTGGTTTATCGGTCAACAAACACATTGTATCTACTACATTTCAAATTTTTAATGGTAAGCAGAGGGTTTTTTTTTTTTATACATGATAATACGCATGGAACCTCAGCGTTTACCGTTTTTGGGTCACGAAATGAACATGAAGCTTGTATTCACTGATACTCGGGAATACGTGTAGAAAATTACCCACCAAACGCTTTACAAAACTATGAAATTAAACAATGTATATTTATAAAACAA